TCATCCCAATAAATGTACTTATTCAGCCTACTTTGTTTGAAATTACTATACCTACTCCAGTTTTGCGCAACATAACTTTCTCCACTCCCTTACTTTTAACTTATAAGCAGTAAGTTGTACATAATTTATTATATATAACATATTATTAAGCCTTAAAATCAGAGGTTCATGCCACTGAATAAGTCTTTTTTTTTAAAGATTGATTGATTGATTGATTGATTTGATTTATACAAGCACTGGGTACAGTCAGAATCGCGGAGGGTGAGAGAATTCACCAGAGCCAGAGCGGGGAGCAGAACAGGCAGAGGGACCGAAGTACACTGCTGAGGGGCAGCGGGCGGCAGGAGAGGTCTGCGCGCCATGGGGACCCTCCTCCGGTGGCCGGAGCAGCCGGGGATCGAACCGGCGCCTCAGAGGCCGCGGGCAGCTTCGCAACCCAGCGCTCAACCGCTGCGCCACCGGGAGGCCCGTGAATAAGTCTTTATAATAAAAGTGATTTTCTTATACACTTGGTTGTGGTTTTTTAATTTACCGACGATTTCTTCTTTTTTTTTTTTTAAGATTTATTTATTTATTTATACAAGAACTGGGGTACAGGCCAGAGGCGCGGGAGGGTGAGAGAATTCACCACAGAGTGGGGAGCAGAACAGGCAGATGGACCGAAACACTGCTGAGGGAGCAGCGGGCGAGCCAGGAGAGGTCTGCCTCGCCATGTGTGTCTCCCTGGCCAGCCAGGAATCGACGAACTCGCCCTGCAGAGGCTGCTGACAGCTTCACAGAGCTGCGCTCAACTCGCTGCACCACCGGGGAGGTCCTTTACCGACGATTTCTGTCTTTCAACTGGTGTGATTAGACTACTTTCATCGAGTTTTTAACTATTTCCTATTTGTTCCTCTTGACATTCATACCTATTTTGATTTTGTGATTTTGTATTTTTTTTTTGATCATATAAGTGATTTTGTATTTTTTTTTCTTCAGATCCCTCAAAACTCGGAGTCACTTCTGCATGGCACGCAGTAAGTAACGTAGAAAACTGCGGACTAGCTCCAGCAGGGAAGGAGAGTAAATGGGATTTAGGGATAGAATATGCAATATAAGCACAGGGTCTTTGCTTGATAGATTCAAATCCCGCAGACACTGACAACCGCTTCAGCCAATAAAAGCATTCCTATATCCCCAACGTCCAATTCCGAAGGAAAGGCGCGGGACTCCCTTCTGCTTTGAGGCAGGCTCAGAATCTTCGATTTGTAATTGGGTTAAACCTGGAGTGGGCGTGGCTTACACTTCTGCAAGCTTATTACCGGCCGACTTCGCGTTGCCATGACGACGGTGGCTGGGTCAACGCAGACTCGGTTGGAAACTCTCCCTGCACTTTAAGGACCGTGCACTATCGAGAGGTCATTCTCGGTGGCTCATTTTCCTCAAAATACACTGAAATAGGAATAACAGGGTTCTACAGCCCTTTTCGTTCGAATTCCTGAGCGGGCGCTGCGGTGCCCGAGAGTCTGCTTCGCCAGGCGCTGCTTCTAAGGCCTCGGCGCGCGCCCCTCAGCCGACTCCTGAGTGGAGCTGGATGGCAAATCCGCAGAAGACATCCCAGCGAACCACCAGCCTGCAGGCAGCAGGCTCCGCTTCTTTGTGAAGTGTTATTTTGCTTCCTATGTAGGCACCTTAAAGAGGCAGAGGGCTTTGTCTGATCCTTGCGGAGTATGACGCGAGGTTGCGAGATCAGAACGTCTTGAGTCCGTAGTAATAAGACTTCTGTATTCTTGCAGATCCATGGGCAGTAAGAAGAAAGAAATTGCCCTGCAGGTAAGCCTTAAGGGGGCGTTTACTTCCTGCACTTGGGGTTGGGTGATGAGGTTGGTGTGGATGGAGAAAAGCAGAATAAAAGTAGTATTTGGTTTGCCAGCAGTATGTGATGGTGTTCTTAAACTTGATCTTAAAGGAAAAAATAAATGACAATTTTTCTGTGCACTTAAATATAAACTACCAAATGGGGTATAAAATATTTATGCTTATAGTGCTTATACAATCATAAAATTTGAACATTAAAAGAAAATAAAACTACAAAACCAAGAATATATGAATCCAGATAATCCCAAGTTACATATTTTTGGTTGAAATATAATAGCAGCTTGTTGAGAGAATATAATATGGGTTCTTTTGAATTTGGGCATGTGTCTGTACTTGTGTGCTGTGCAGAGACTTGATTCTGCCACCACTGCTCTCTTCAGTCATTGTTTATTCAACAAATATGTTTTGATATCTTATTGCTATGCATTTGTTCTTTAGGGTGCCTTACTTCATTTCTGCCCCAGATATGTGACTTTGTAAGGCAGCTTCTGCTCTCTTTCCTGCTCCTGGACAATAACTAGTGGGTGATTTGAAAGTGATGTTAAGAATGTGTAGGCATGGCTTGGAATTGGGATGGAGTGCTTTCTCATAAGATTGTCGGGATGATATGTTATATGGGTACATTTTAAAGCAAACTTTCAGGGCGTCCCTGGTGGCTCAGGGGTTAAAGACAACTCTATCAATCTATGCCAGGCACTGAAGCATGAGTTCGAACCCTGTCTGGCCAGGGAGAAACCCACATGGCACAGCAGACCTCTCCTGTCTCGCCCGCTGCTCCCCTCAGCAGTGTGCTTCGTCAGTCTGCCTGTTCTGCTCCCCACTCTGACTCTGGTGAATCCTCTCACCCTCCCATGAATCTGGCCTGTACCCTGGTTTTTGTATAAATAAATAAATCTTTAAAAAAACACACAAAATTAACAATAAATAAATAAATAAATAAATAAAGGGACAGACCTTAATATACCGGTATTAAGAATGAGTGGTGATTGTCATGTCTTTTCATTTATATAGTTTCAAAGTGACTCCCTACAAAAACTTATTAATTACAAAGGGAAGAGAATAATTTCACTGTACAGGAACCTGGCAGACCATTTAATCAAGTGATCAAAGTGGATCAGTAAAGGGGCAGGCTGAAATTGTGTCACAGGATAGGATGGGCTAAGACAAAATGAGAGGAACAATCTTCAATTTCTCTGTCATTCCAACCAGTTCCAGCCAGTTCCAGCCAATACAACTGGTCCCAACTTATCCAACTAATTCCAACCAATCCTGAGAAATGGAGTAAATTTAACCATTATTTCTGATGTTTGCATGTATTTAACAAAAGATGTGCAAAAGGTATACACTGAAATCTACAAAACATTGCTGAGAAAATGAAGGAAGATTTAAAATATGGGGGCCTCCCTGGTGGCGCAAGGGGTTAAGTCTCAGCACTATGTAGTTTCAGCAACCACTGTAGCAGGAGTTCAATCCACACGCCCCAGCAGACCTCTTGCCTGCTGCTCCCCTCAGCAGTGTATTTCAGTGTATCCGCCTGTTCTGGTCCCCACTCTGTCTCTGGTGAATCCTTTCACCCTCCTGCACCTCTGGCCTACACTTTAGCTCTTGTATGAATAAACAAATAAATCTTTTTAAAAAAAAATTTAATATATGATGAGAAACATGTTAATAAACTGCAGTCACTAAGTGTTAAGATTTTATTTTTTCCCAAAACAATCCACATATTCAAGCTAACCAAGTTAAAATTTCTGTGGGAGTTTTTGCATAAATTAGCAAGTTGGTTCTAAAAGGTATAAGTAAAATTTACTTTTTTCAAGTAAATCTTGAAAAAGAATATGGAAACCTCACAATATCTGATTCTAAGAACTATTATCTAGTATGAGTCCCTTTAATGTATTGCTTATTTTAACTATTGTGTTATTTATCTTTATGATTTGTTTGGATTCTCCTCATATTTTGTCTATTGCAGTGCTGTAGTTCTCATTTTGTTCATCAATTTTCCTCTTAATTTCAGTGAGCATCAATTTAGACTATTTCTTTGAAATCCTCTTCAGGTAATTCTGCTGCATTAGATTTCTTTCCAGGGTTTTGTCTTGATCCATTATTGGAGTGAATTCCTCTGTGTCCTCATTTTGTTTGGCACTCGGTTTATTTGCATGGGGTAGGCTTCCTTTCCTAGTCCAGATTATTAGCCTTGTGCTAGAATTGAGCTGCAGGGTGTTGGCCCCAGATGCTAGGCTTTCTGTTGTAACCAGTCAGGATGGCTAGAGCTCAGCAGTGCAGGCTATAGCCAGAGGATCCAATCTGTACTGGTGGAAGGAGGAGGGAAGCAAGGAAGTAGCTGCTGTAGAGTGCCAAGGGCACACGCCTAGATGGGTGAGGGCAGGAGGTCTAGAGCTCAGGCAGGGATCTGCAACCACAGTCAACTCAAGGCAAGTTCTAAGGGCAGAGCTTTACCAGTAGCCTTAGGCTGAAACTCAGTTGCAGCTTATCTCTGATCTTAGCAGGTTCTGCAAGCAGAGCTTTCACCAGAGGCAAGGAAAAAGAATAGCAACTGGGCACAGTGGGCTCCAACAGAGGCAGGAACGGTGGGCAGTCTGAGTAGCAGAGGAGGCTGCCTAGAGGCTGAAGGGTGCCGGGAGGGGGAAGTGCTGGAAAGCTACAATCCTAAATCTGTTCCCAGCAAGTTCTACAGTTTTCCCTAGAGGAAGGGGCTCCAGAGTTACTGTGGAGCAAGAACTGACTGGGAGCTCCAGCTGCCAAGGATGGGTCCACAACTGATTTCAAACAGCAGGTGTCTGTCCTCTCAGGTAACACACAGATAAGAGGCTAGAGCAGACGCCCAAGAGAGGTCTCCGCTGGTACCTCCCGCTGAAGTTTTAGTTTCAACAAATATAAACCCTTCAGTTAGGTTTGCATGTCCCTGATCAATCTGTCCCCTTTGTGCGTAGTCCTGGGATATCTGCTCGCCAGAATCCCGCTGGTTTCGAAAGGAAAGACCCTCTGTTTTCCACACCGAGATGAGATGTGGGCGCTCCCCTCACCCTCACAGTTCCCAGGTGCTGGGGCACCTGATGAGGGACTAAACCCTTCTGTCAGGGAGAGGTTCCCAGTCCCCGACGCCGCCCTCCGCCCACAAGTTCCCTGGTAGCGTCCCCAGCTAGACTGTCTCAGCCTTTCCTACCCTTTCAGATGGTGGCGATCACTTTTCTCGTGGAGACGGTGATCCTCCAATCTTCTGTTCTTTTCAAAGGCAGCTGCTCTAGTATAAAAGTTGGTTCGCAGCGTCTGTGGGGAGGAGGCGAGCCCAGGCGCCCGCGAGTCCGCCATCTTGAACTCGAGGCTGCCAGACTTAAAGCGACAGTAACCACAGCCGTGGAGCAGCGGTCCCAGACTAGACTGATAGGGCAACCAAACAGAAGAAAGTCCAAAATAAAACCACGCTTACAGAGTCAATTGACTTTCAAAAAAGCTGTCAAAGAATTAAATAGGGAAGTAAGTCTTTTCAACAAACTGCAGAAATAACTATCCCTTTACGTGAAAAGTAAAATTAACCCCAATTTTACTTTCCCTTACAACATAGACAAAAATTAATTTCAGATGGATCAAAGACTCAAGTGACTTAAGTGAAACTTAAAAAGATTTAAACGAAAGCTTAAATTATGAAGCTCCTTGAAGAAAGTGAGAGCATCTTTGTGATTTTGAGGAAATATTTCTTAGAAAGCACTGACTATAAAACTAAATTTGGTAAATTAGATTTTACCACTATTAAAAACTTATGTTCAAGAAAAGAGACTTGAAGGATATGAATAGGCAAACCACAGACTTAGAAAAAATATTTACAATACATATTTCTGATAAAGAACTTGTACCCCAAATGTACTATATCCTCTACAACCTAATAATATAAGGCCAACAGTCCAGTATATAAAGTGGACAACCAATGGGCACTCTCAAAGAAGATACACATACAATGACTGATAAGCACATTAAATAATGCTAACACCATTTAGTCATTAGGGAAATGAAATTAAAGTCACAACGAGACACCGCTGCATTACCATTAGTGTGCAATGTAAAAAGTGACATTATGAAATTTTAGTGAGAATATATAATAGGCAGAACTCTTATACTTTGCCATGGAAGTTTAATATGGTTCCACTTTAGGAAAAGTGCTAGCAGCTTCTTCTTAAACTGAACATTCATTTATCCTGTGTCCTAGCAATTCTACTCCTGAGCATTTACTTACTGACAAGAAAAGAAAACATGAATACAAAAAGATTCAACGAGTATTCATAACTCTTTATACATAATAGCCCCAAGCTGGAAGCAACCCAAATATCTATTAAGCAAATTTTTATATAGTCATACATTGTAATATAATCAGGAATAAAAATGAACAAACTACTGACACACAACTACACAGATGAATTCCCAAAATATGATGGGGGAAAGAAGCCAGCATGAAATAATAATGCTGTGTTAATACACATATGTAAAGTTTTAGCACAGGCAAAATGAATCTTTTGTGATAGAAAGCAGATCAGTGCTTACTTGGGGTGAGAAATGGGAAATGCCTGGGAAGAGACTGGAGGAAATTTTCTGGGGTAACAAATGTTTTGTATTGTGGTAGGTGTGTGATACATGGGTGTATCCATCTTTCAAGACTCATTTAACTAACATTTTAGTTCTGACAAAGAACTTATGCTTAATTTAAACAAATTATATTTCACTAAAACACAAAAAGGCATACTTTTATACATATAAATGTCAAAACTTGATGAGTGAAAACACAAATTGCAAAAAGATATAGTCTGATACTGTATGCATGTATATGGATACATGTATTTCATGTATTATTTTAGGACAAGTAACAAATAAAAATATTGATAATCTTTTTTAAAATGTCTGAAATTTTCTTATCTAAGTGGTTACTTGTGGGGATGGAGACCAGAAGAGAGAGAAAAGATTGCTGAAAGAGGAGAGCTTGAACTGTGATTGTAACTTAGAGAGAGACAGCAGAGACAGAGAGACACAGGAGAGAGAGTGTGTGCAGAGCAAATACATCAAATTGTTTCCCCATCAGTACCATTAGTAATACAGCAATTGTTCATTTTTGATGTTAGGTCAACATCAGCACACAGGAACTTTGGGAAGAAATGCTCAGTTCCAAAGGACTTACTGGTAATTTAACTTCTTAGATCCATCCTTTTCAAAATTGCTAAATGACATACTGAATTGTGAAGAGGACAACAATGGGTATCATTTTCTATACCTTGAGTTCTGTAAATAAAGATTTCTCTGTGTTTATATATATATAAACATGTGTGTTTATTATATAAACATGTATGTTTATTATATATAAACATGTGTGTATGTATGTTTATACATATGTTTATATATACATGTATTTATGTATGTATCTGGCTTGAACATCTGTTAATAAGTTCAGTTCTGACAACTCATTACTGTCGGATAACAGTGCTGTTTTAGCTGGTTATCATACTCAGGGGTTGTTTGGGATTGTTAAGGGACAGAAATCTCTTCTAATTCCTGACGCAGAAAGGGGACTGCATTGTAAGGAATATGGCTCTACCACTTGAGAGCTTTTCATTTTTTACCTTGAGTGCATTACTTCACCTCCTTGAACTTCCTCTTCCTCATCTCTATAGTAAGATAACAATACCCATCTCACTGTTTTATTTTTTTTTCTTTTAAAGAAAAGCAAAGTGTAGGGGCGCTTTTGCAGTTCAATAAATATTAGCTTCCTCTCCTCTCTACAACTTACTGTGAATCCTCATTGTATAGTAAACAGGACAGAAATACTAGCTCCCATGTTTCACACTCTCCTGTGACCACTGTCATCATTAGCCATGGCCCCCGCAGGCTGGTCTGCTCCCAGTGTCCCTACACTCCCCAACTGTGTCTGGCTGCTCCTGTTTCCCATCACAGCATCCCCCCAATATCCACCCCTACCCCACACCAAGCCAGGCCCTACATTTCCCACAATGCCCAATGCCAGGCTCCCTCCACTGGGAAGCCTTCCTTTCCTGATTAGAAGAGTACAGTGCTGCCAGAGACTATGCTAATTTTCATGATTTTATATCATGTTCTACTAATGGTTTTCACATGATGTAAAAATTTTGAAATGTGATTCATCAAGAAATAAAAGCACAATTGCAAGCTATTAAAATTGACTAAGATGCAGCTCTCCATCCACCTGTGATTATGCAGGTGCCTCTCCTGTTTTCTCCTTTTCCTAATAAACCTATCCTTTCAAAATGTTAAAACAGAGAAATAAGCAAAATTGCCTGACACAGTAGTTCATAAGCAGTGTCTACCTAACTCCCCACAACCATGCCACTCCAGCGCTAAACAGCAGTGTGTGGATTAGGTATGAACTCTGTGAGTGTTGGGGTCTTTTGGAAGATATCTTCCCTCTAAAATGTGACCACTGTTATATTTTAATCTAGCACTTGCTGTGTTTCCATGCCCCACCTGGGGCATGCATCTGGTACACCTATGGTGGATTAGCTTGCTTAGAGGCCTCACATCTAGAGTACTCAGATGAGGGGATTCCCTCACACCCAGCCCTGGTATAGACTGGGACCAAAGAAGCAAAAGGTATCTACCTTTTTACTTAGGTCTCTATCAGATTCACTTTTCAGGAGGAAAATGTTAATTTTACAAAGAAAATAAAAACTTTTACCCAAAGCCAGTGACTTAATTCATTAGGGGAGGGTCCAGTTGTGTTTATATCTGAATAGTTTAGAGCTGATTGCATGCTGACAGGTCAACTACAGGGAATTCTTCTTTTAGAATCGTTGACTTCAGTCCAAGTATTTATGGAGGGTCACTCTGTGCCGGGCTTGACTGAATATAGCCTGAAAATTCCTTAAAGTATCCATGCAAAGAAAATGATTTTCCACAAGACTAATCATTGTTTAGAATTTTAAAAACTGAGTCATAAGAATGAGGAATATGCTTGCTCACACCCTGACGGGATAATCTTTTTCACCATTAAATATCCCTGCAAACAGAGTCCATTGGGGATTAGAATGTATAGGTATAAATGTCACCTGCCACTGTGAATGCTGGTGCCCACTGATTGTTCCTGCTTCCTGCTTCCACACAGTTGTTGATGTCTATCAAGGCTGGTGTGGCCCCTGCAAACCCGTGGTGAGCCTGTTCCAGAAGATGAGGATCGAGGCTGGCCTGGATCTTCTGCATTTTGCATTAGTAAGAGTTCAGCAGAATGTCACACAACATTATAAAAAAATTTAAAATGGGAACAGGTCAAGTGAACTGCCTTTTTCAGGCTGCTGAAGAGGTATCAGTTGTATATTTGCTGGTCGAGCTGGGTGATGATAATTTTTCTAGAGGTGATGATTCTGACCTCATCACCATGACCCTACAAGGAGCCCTACCTCTGGGCTCCTTCACAGCTCATGTACTGTGAACTCAGAAGCTTATTTTTAGAGTACGGAATTTCAAGATTTCAATCTCTTCTCCTTAAAGGGGAACATTTATCTTTTCACATTTAACTGGATTAACATATGGAAATGGGAATAAGTTCCAGAAAAATGTATGAGACCCTCATTCAGCTGCATGGATTTGAAATTCATAGTCAATGACCACAGGGGAGACTATATCAGACACTTGATGACAAAATAATAATAATTACTACTGTGAGGAGGAAAGAAAAAGATGTATTCTTGGAGTCAAAATGATGATTAACCTGGAAAAGAACAGTTTGGTGGAAAGAGTACCAGCCAGCTGCTTTCTCCCCTGCTCTACCCTCTCCCAGGGAAGGTCTAACTTATATAGTATTCGAACAGGCAGGCTTTCTCAGTTTAAAAAAAGACACATTAAGGGGCCTCCCTGGTGGCACAAGGGGTTAAGCACCTCATTATGAAGTAACCTGCAGTCTCTGCAGCACTGAGTTTGATCCCCAGCCAGGTAGCAACCCACATGGTGCAGCAGACTCTCCTGACTCACCCACTGCTCCCCTCAGCAGTGTACCTTGGTCAATCTGCCTATTCTGTTCCCCACTCTGTCTCTGGTGGATCCTCTCACACACCCCCAACCCTCATCTCTGACCTGTACTCCAGCTCTTGTATGCACAAATAAATAAATCTTTTTAAAAAGTCACATTAAGGTAAGCAATGAGAAAAACAAAGCATATGTTTTCACAAGCATATGATAATTTCCTGACTCATATGCATGTTTAAAACTTGGGATCATTACCTGTCACAGATACAATCTGTGCAAGAGGAAAGCAATAACTGTAACACATAAAAATCTATCATAAGAAATGCCTGTTTGGTTGGATGCTGCAGGTTGCTCCAGTGGGGGATGGACGCCTGAATCAGCAGTTCCTGGTGACAGGGCAGGACTGACTTTGTAGGGTGATTTTTTTTTTTTTTTTTAACAGATCTCTTTGATCTGCTGACTCAATCTTTACCAGTCTATTTTTTTGGTGCTTAAAATTTGTAGGCTTTCTTCCATATGCTAATCTCTCAAGGAGCTTGACTTTAAGGACTTTGCTTTCTCCCTTGGGAGTCAGTTTTGATGCTTCTCTAGGGAACTTGGAGGAAATGCTCAGTGGGGAATCCAGATACGGGGTTATCAGACTACGAATGCAAAGTTTGAGGAATTTGAGGGTTTTTTCATACTGTTCTCACCTGTAGTGGCAGCAATGAATAGTAATGGGGAGGGGAGAAGGAAAAAATGTTTTCTCCTCTTTTTATTCTTAAAGAAGTATTTTTACCAATTCTTACCCATATGTTGAGGACAGTAGTTAAGATTCTGATGCAAAGACATTAGAAGGAATACCGTGTGAGTAAGCCAGGTCTTCATCTGGGGAGGCCAGTAATGATGTGTGTGTGTGTGTGTGTGTGTATATGTATATGTATATATATATATACACACACACACATATATACAGGATGTATGGAGTGTGTGAGTATGTGTGCATGAGTATGTATGTGGGGGGTGGGTGTGGTCTCGGGGTACGTGGGAATGTGTGTGTGGGAGTGTGGGTGTAGGTATATATGTTGGTGCAGGGTGTGGTATAGATATGTGGGGAGTTGGGGAAGTGTGGGGTTAGGGGTGTAGGTGTGTGTCTATGTATGAGTTTAACTGTATGTGTGGGTGATGTAGGTAGGTATGAGGGGTATGTATATATGGGCGTGGTGTAGGTGTGTATGGGGGGGTGTTTAGGGGTGGATGTGTATAGGGGTCTCCTGCCATCATGCCCCCGTACCCACTGTGTCCCAGGGTCCCGCTAACCACTTTTTTCCTTTAGGCAGAGGCAGATTGTCTTGATGTCCTTGAAAAATATCGAGGGAGATGTGAGCCGACCTTTCTGTTTTATGCAGTAAGTGCCTTTTCAGAACCAGAACTATTTCAAGGTTGCAAACCATTAGGGTTCAGATAGACACATGGTTCTGGCATTCCTTCCCAGTGGATGTCACCCAGAGGCCTCACTGATCCAAACAAGTGGTGCCAGTTTCTCCTGGACTGTGTTTATCACTTTGTTTCTTTAACAAAAGTACCCCTCTTCCTCCTTCCCAATCAACCACCACAGGTGGGAATGCTTTGCCTCTGTCTTTGTGCTTGGCATAGTGAATGCTCAGCAAGTATTTGCTGGGGGAATGAGCAATGTGTGGGTCACACATAGTCACTCATAACCCACTGTGCCTAGTTCCACCCTTAACTAACTGCCCTTTGCCCTGAAGGAAGTGCTGGAGGGAGTAGAGTGTAGCGAGGTAGACAGAGTGGTCCTGGGGGTGATGGGCCTTGACCTTGGACACACTCCTAAGAAAATCTCTTGGACACTCCTGCTGTCTCTTGAGAGAGATTAGTAGCAATCTGACCAGCGTGTCTGTACTGCATTCTAGGGAGGAGAACTGGTGGCTGTGGTGAGAGGAGCAAATGCTCCACTGCTGCAGAAAACCATCCTGGATCAGCTTGAGGCTGAAAAGAAGGTGTTATCTGAAGGCAGAGAACGGAGAGTGGTAAGGGGGTCCACTTCTCCAACACTAACTCAGAAATGTGCTGGGAGGCGAGACCTGCCCTTCCCTGCCCTCACTAAGTCCCTGGAGCGGTGGGAGGGAAGCTTCATTAACGGCCCACCTTGGACACTGGGGGAGAGGCAGAGCCCACTACAACCTGTATGCATTGTGAAACCTTTTTAAAAAGTCTCCTTCATCCAAGATACTTTAATTTCCTTTATCCATTTTCCTTTTGTATCCAGTTCAACTCTTCACAGGGGGTTCTGACTCTCAACAATGAATTTAAAGATGAAAACAATATTATAGATCAAGCAGTGGGTGGGAGGGGTGAGCCTCAGGGTGAAGCCTCTCCTGGTCATGCCTCCTCACCTCACCTTCCTGAAGGTTTTACTTGGGATTCCAGAGAATTCATGTCTTTAAACATTAAATTCTGTCATTACCTGCAGAAGTAGGATCAGCATAGTTTGTGATATTGATCAATTATTTCCATGATAACAGAGGGTGCAAATTTTCCCTCAATAATTAGTTGGCTGCCCTTGAAAACTCACACACCTGCTAGAGAGAGGAATTTCCTGGCGGGTGAGCATCTGCTGAATGAGCTTAACACTGCTCAGTGTTTATTGTTCAAGTTTTCATGTTTAATTCCAAATAGCAAAGTCCCATTTTAATAGAATGAATTAGAATCAAATTTTATTTTTCCCAGAAAATTGGCAGTCCCACCTCTCACCTCCCTCACTCCCCTCCAAAAAAGAAAATCACAAATGTCTCACTCATAGCAGGAATCTAGAAAACTTAAATAAGGGATCAGGAAAATGAATAACTATAAGAAAGTGAAAATCAAAATCAACAAAAAACTATGAACCAGAGACACTTTTTGGGGGTGGGGGCCGGGAGGGGAGGGATTGGGTCAGAATGGGGCATGTGCAGTTGTATGGGGGAATATAAAAATAAAATTTATTATTTAAAAAACAAAAACAAAACAAAAAAAAAAGATACATGACTGACAGCATTTTATTAGCTTAAAATAATATCCACACATTCATACTTCCCAATTTACTAAATACTATACACACTTAATTCTGACAATATTAAAGGATCTTACATGAATTGATGGAATAAAGATAGAAGAGAATGTCTGAATATTTAAAGAGTGCTAAGAAGTCAAGTTAAAATGTGCACATTCTTAGTGATATCTGATTTGGGGCCTTAAATACTGAAAAAATGGATTGTGTAGAATGGAAAGAAATATTTGGAAAGATGGAGGAAAAAGGGCATTCTAGAGTTGTAGACATTTTAAGGAAAACTTTAAAATATCCTAAGCCATCCAGAATCAGTAATCTTTAGATTTCTGCTGATCTTAAAAGTTCTGCAAACATTTTTAATAAAAGTAATGATTTTATAGTTGAAAAAAAAAAAAGAAAATCACAAATGCTTACATTTTCAAGTGCCTCTTCTAGGGGAAAATGACCCTTGTCTTCACTGCTTCCCTGAACTGTGTAGCCAATCACTTAATATTTACATGTTTTTCAATTCTTCCTTTTCCTTTTGCCAACCTTTTTTCAACTCTTTTCCTTAGTTGCTATTTGATGCTTTTGAAACAGGCAGACGCGATCTTAAGATCAGCTTGGATTTCCTTGTCTTCAAGTCTCTCACCCCCACCAATGACAAAAAGGATCTTGTAAAGTTTTCTAGACTAATCATCTTGACATCCTTTCGGAACTTAGCTTTTTTTTTTTTTTTTTGATCCTGCAGGTGTTTGAAGGTCTTTGTAGTCATTTAATTTAAATTAGTTAACGACTTTCTGATTTCCTACTAGATTAAAGATGAGGCTCTTTGTGATGAAGATGAATGTTTTTCTCAGGAAAAAGACAACAGTGAAGATGAGGACGTGGGTGAGTGAAACAAGAAGCAAGGAAAAGAGCAAAGCAGACTTATAGGGGGTGGTGTGTTTTTAAAACATACACCAATCATCAGTTTAATGAGTAACCTGGACTCTAGGGAGATGAACCTTAAAACATCTTGCTGTCTGTCCTCTGACTTCAAATGTATTAAATGTATTTCCGGGGCATTTGGGCACCATTCATGGCTTTCTGAGCATGTTCAAATAAACCAGGCATGACTTTCTTTAGCAAGTACTGGGCATCAGGAAACACTGCATTTATTAAAATAGACAATTGTGACATTAATAGTGTTTTTTTTTAAAGATTTATTTATTTACGAATACAAGAGCTGGGGTACAGGCCAGAGATGCGTGGGCGGGGGGGGGGGTGAGAGGATTCACCAGAGACAGAGCAGGGAACAGAACAGACAGACTGACTGAAATACACTGCTGAGGGGAGCAGCGGATGAGACAGGAGGGGTCTGCCTTGCCATGTGGGTTGCTCCCTGGCTGGCTAGGCATCGAACTTGTGCCGCAGAGGCTGCAGATTGCTTCATAATGTGGTGTTTAACCCTTTGCACCACCAGGGAGGCCTAAGTTGTGACACTAATAATGTAAAGTAAATGTAAAGTAATGCTGCCGGGGAGTTTCCTTAGCCCTTATTTGATGCTTCCTTGAGCTTTTTTTTTAAACACCTTTTTCCTGAAGTGTCAACAAGTCAATGTCCTGACACCTTCCCCCCCCTTTTTTTTTTAGATTTTAAAAGGACAAGTTTATTAGGAAAAGTCACAGGCAGGAAGGAGAGCTGCCCCTCTCCCCTTGTTCCCCAAATATTTCCATATCCTGGACTTTGCAGTCCTTCCTGAACCATACCTATGAGGAGAAGACTTTAATTTGACACTGAAGAGAAGGAAGCAGTTAGAAAGCCCATCACTGTAATGGTGCATTTGATGTGTAACTGAGACACCAGGGGAAGCCAGGATTAAGTTCAAGGTCTGAGTTGGAGAAGGAAGACTTTTATTATTGCACGAGATAGAAAGGTATATTTTTTTTCTTCACATGAATAATGAAAAAAAAATCCAACTTTTGGAGTTAGATTCTGTCAAAGAATGAGATACAGTTTAGGAGAGCAAGTGTGAAAAGAAAATTGGTGACATGGTTTCTGCAGGAAACATTTGTTGCCTTCTTTGGGGATTTTCTCTTTCTTCTCTCCTCCATTATTTCCTCTCAGATGAAGTTGCTCCATCTGGGAAACCACCCAAAGTGTGCGTTTGCCCCAGCTGTCCTTTCTTCTAAGTTCCTTGGGCCACCCTCCCTGCCCTGCCTGCCGCAAACTGACCTCCCTGCAGCACCTCCCTGAGCCATCCCACACCCAAGGGGAGGGTCCAGTCCCGTCCTATGGCCACTCTCTGAGGACTGGGACGATATTCACCATGCCCTCCTTACCACAACCTTCTTTGGTTTCAGAGGTGTCAGGACTTTCCACGTTTTCCTCCCCTCTGGTCTGTCCGAGCTCTCCACTTCACTGGTTTCTTTTCCTTTGCTCCCATTTTGAGTTGAGTTCTTGGAAGTCCCACAGTCACGTGCTCTGACCTTTTTCCTTCTCACTTTGCACCCCTGAGTGATCACACTGTCAATTCATCCAGAATTTATTACAAGAGTCCCTAAAAGTCTAAGTGTTCATAGAGCCATAGAAATAATACAGATTTGTTGCTTACCTCTGCAGGACACTTTTTTGAGATTTTCAAAGTAGGATGTTTTCCTTCCATGCAGACATTGTCATGTTTCATTGCAACACAACTGATGTGGAAGTTGAGAACAGGAAATACAGAGTCTGAAGAGCATAGGTAGCTTACCAAGGCCAAGTTCATATAAACAGGAGTACAATAAGGATGGGTTTGCCTACAGCTTCTGTGGACATGATCAGGTGGCACAGCTGGTTGGATGGATCTATGGACACTGACAAATGGGCAGCCAATCAGTGAGCTGGGCCTGGGCTCCAATCAATTAGTTGGCCAACCTAGTTTGCACTCAGGAGAACTCAAACTGAGACAGGAGACTGAAGATTCAGTTGGTAGTCTGTGTTGGTGCTTAAAAGTCATGAAAGGTCATGTTGAATTAGTACCTGAGGCTGTCCTTATGGCCACATGCCAGGAGAGTTAAAAAGGATTAGCAAAGGAATCAGGAGAGAGAGAGAGAGAGAGAGAGAGAGAGAGAGAGATTGAGATCGCAGCAAGCAGCAATTAGAGGCTCAGAATCAAGAGAGGGGACAGGAAGGGACAAGAATGGCCAGACCTGTGTTGCCTCTACTGCCAGCTCATTTCACATTCCAGAATGACACTTTCAGTTGTTTATGGATTTCTGTTCCTGAGAAGTCTCGATTCCCTTCCCTTGTCCTTTCATCCCATCCCTTCTCTCCATAGTTCATGTCCCTTGCATGTCTCTGTTCCGTGCAACCAGGTTGAGGGTGAGGTCTGAAGTTAGACCTGTGCTTCCACTAAAGTCCAGGTCTGCAGGTGCACAACAAAGAGGCCAGGTGAGGGAGCACTGGGAGTGTCATGTGGAGGCTGCACATCCCTGAGAATGGCCTCCTGGGAGCCTCAGTGGTGGGGGCTGTGGGACCAGGGCCTGATAACACCAGCTTGGCTTATTGCAGCTTCCTCAGAGAAGAGCTGTACCTTGGCAATCATTAAACCAGACGCAGTGGTCCATGGAAAGGCTGATGAGATTATCATGAAGGTAAGAGACAACATGTACCTACAGACCCTCCTGTACCTTTTTGGCATGAAAAAAGGAGGTGTGTACAATTTTCCATAGACTCCTAGTGGGAAAAGGTGGACTTTAGGAGTTTTAGCTGAAATCCACTTAAGTAAATTAAATATTTTAAATGCAATTGGGACAGATATGGGAATGAAGTCCTCACAGATTTTAGTGTTACCTGTTGTTATCTTTTACTTTTCAACTAAGTTAAATGTGAATTTGGGCTTGATTTACCTTTTCAGAACATGTGTCTGTATCTATATATATTTTCAACAGATCCAGGAGGCTGGGTTTGACATTTTAACAAATGAAGAGAGAACCATGACAGAGGCAGAAATGCGACTTTTCTACCAACACAGAGCTGGCGAGGTTAGCTTATTTGCTTCCACATGTCCAACACACTCTCATTTCTTTTTTCAATATTAATAGATTGAGGTTAGGAGAAAATATAATAGTATGAAGAATAGAATATGAAAGGCAAGTGGGCCATGAATTTGCTCTCAGAAAAATGATTATAGGCTGTAGCAGGCAAAATTTCCTTAATTGCATGGAAGAGATTTTGACTCTAGCAAAGTAATAAAATAAGGGGTTTACTGGAAGAATACCCCATAACTCCTGGGACTGAAGGAAGAAAATTGAATGAACAACAGTGATGGCGAGAAGAATCAAGGCAGTCAGAGGAATCTCAGGAGCAAAAGTGTATGGACAGTCATGTTGCAGTTGGGTAGATTCAACCACTCTCCATTGGCCCTTGCTTGCAGCTCACTTACTGGGAGTAAGGGTCGTTCGACCTGTCTTGGGCCATAGTCCACCTGTGTGTGTGGTGGGTGAAGACAGGCATCCTGTTGTCAAACTAAAACAGAGTGAAATTGGGAGGAGCTGTGCCCCAAAGGAAAACCAGAATGCCATTACTTGAAGAAGGGGGAAGAATTGCAAGGCACTGAAAAACAAAAACAACTCAACTACATCCTGCCTCTTGGTTAAGCATCCATATGATTCCCATATGTGGTTTTGTAACTGCCCCTACCCAATGTATTATACACTCACCTTCAACTCAGAGTCAATATTGAGTTCCACTTTGAGTCAACTCAAAGTCTCATCTCTCGCCTTTAACCTATATCTGCTTTCTCTGGGTGTGGTTGGTCATCACCACCCCTACTCCCTGGGCATGCTGGCTCTCATTAACCTTCTTCTGTCCTGTCAGTGATGGCCCACTGACCCTGAGCAGGCCTCACGCCCTTGCCCCAGGCCACTGTTCTCCCTTCCTGTGGTAGGAGGCATTTGAGAAGCTGGTACATCACATGAGCAGTGGGCCCAGCCACCTCCTGATCCTCACCAGGACTGAAGATGCTGAGGACGTGGTCAGCGCCTGGCGAACCTTCATGGGGCCCTGTGACCCCATTGTGGCAAGGAGGGAGCAACCTAACAGGTGATGTTACCAGCTGTGGTCCTTTAATCCACCCAGAACCTGCATCCAAGGAAGCTGAGGGCCCTGCTCTATGTCAGCCCAGAATTGTGGGAGCACAGAGGCCTTTCTGATGGCCTGATGCCTCCTGTATTATATATTCGGGGAAACCTGACCTCTTCGCTATGTATTTGAGGAGATCCTGACACATCCTTACCTTCTGATCTAGTCTCCAGCTCATTGCTGTCTCTTTGTCACCTCCCTCTTCTGGAGCCTGCTGTTGGATTCAGTTCCTACTCTTCTCTCTGCAGTTAGAGACTCTCATATTATGGCCCCAGGACCACCAGCAATACTTACCCAGGAAATATAGATTCCAGGATCCCACCCCTACTCCTCACCCAGGGACCTAAGGTCCCCTGGTATCCAAGTATTGTACACACTGCACTAGGTTGGCTTGTTCTGTTCCTTAGCCCTGAGTTTATTTAGCCTGGTATGGCCAATGCCAAATTCATTGTCTGGCCTTTGAAGCTGAGAGAGGCTCAGCCAACAAGAAAGAAATAAGCAGCAGGCCAAGTAGCTGCAGTTGCACCTTGTAGTTGTTAGAAGCCTGAACATCCCTATATGGGGGAGGCTTTGCTAGTGAAAGACAGACCAGGGATCAGATCTTGGCAACATACACAGGCAAGTCTCTTCTCTGAGCCTCTGTTCTCTCTGGTGAAATGGGGATATGAATACCTGCCATGGCTAAGAGCAGAGACTTCAGAATCCCTTTTCTTCCTCTTACTAACTGCATGAACTTGGGCCACATTTTAGTCCCTCTGTGCTTTAATTTCCTCATCTGAAAAATGGGTACTAAAATAAGACCTGCCTCAGATATCATTGTAAGGATTAAATAAGCGGTGGCACACGCACGTGTGACACACACACACACTTACAGAGCATTTAGCACAGTGCCTGACACAGGAATTCCTAGCTATGTCAATATTACCTTGCAGTATTGTTACAAAGATTAACTATGCAAACCTTTGTCAAGCCTTCAGCAGGGTGCTGGGCCCTGGTGGTAGTATCCACAAAATGGCAGCTCCTGGGCTTACACGACTCCCCTGGGCTAAAACTGGGGATCTTGACAGTGTCCCTCACAAGCTGTGGCACAAGTGAAATGAGCTCATGTATGTGACACATTTGGCAAAGTGCCCTGCGCTGCTGTCCTTGTCATTTCCAGCAGAGGAAGTATTTCAAGCAGTGCAGGGTGCTGATTGGTAGCCGATGACCATGTTACCAGAGAGCAAGACTCCTCTACAAATGAAATAATTGTTCTTGTACATTTTGTCAATGTTCCCAGCCTCCGGGCTCAATATGGCACAGAAATGCCCTTCAATGCCGTCCATGGAAGTGAACGCCAAGAAGACGCCAGCCGAGAACTGGCATTGCTCTTCCCCAGTTTTAAGTTTTCAGAGGAAGTTCCAAAAGCTACTCTGGATAAGTCAGGTAGATCTGGTCTTCATTAAATCTGCGGTATGTTGGAGTTGCTGATACTAAATATGTGGTAACAGTCTTCAGTCTAATAAGGTCCTGTTCTGAAAACAGGGCTTATCAAATAGCTTTAGTAGTAGTTCTGAACTGTTTGACATTTTCAGAGTAATGTGTTGCTTTTTAATACCTCAAACTTTTTGCTACATTCTAACTTTGGAACCTTGTATTTTTTTGCAAAGTTACTTTGCATATTCCCCTGGAAACAGCTGGGAAAATTTAACTTTCTGGAAGCCTACTTCAAATTCAGTCAGAGGTGATGGCACCCCCTCACTAAGCCTTTGCTTGGGTCCTGATAGGCACAGGGTTCACAGAGGGCCCACAGCCTGCTGTGACACTTAGCTCCCTCAGACCCACTTTTGAGTCATCTTGATGTGTGTGAGAAGCCCAGAGGGCCCAAGGGCATGTGACTTAGCCCATCCTACAAGTGGGAGGACTAGGCCAGGTCAAGCTGCTCCTGCTGAGTTGCATGTGTCTGGTTTGAGCCTGAGGTGAGGTGGAAGGGATCAGAGGATGAAACTCCTGGAAAAGCAAAGGATGTGAGGATGGGATTCTTAGCAGCAGGCTACACACACATCTGAAAGAGCCTGCATGTGTCTGAATGTTTGGGTTTTAACCAATTTATTACCTAAATGTTTGCAGTGTTCATGGTCTCAAGATTAGAATACAGGCAAGGAAAACGTGGTCTGAATGCAAGGAACGGGAGCCAGGAGCTGGCCTGAGAGATGTAATTATTTCTGCTGCCAGTTAAGGGACAAGTTGACACGCCCATGGAGTTTAGCTGAGAAATCATAGGAAGTGTGACTCCAGGTGGAGCAGAGATCAAACTTGACACATACAAGTACATGTTGTGGTTCAACATCGCCCTCTCTCCCCTTGCTGGGCACCAACAGAGCCAGCTTTTCTCTGGGATGTATCCAGAGTCTTGGGACACTTTGTCCTTTGGGGAGCAGGGGAGGTGAACTGGCAAATACTCAATGTGGCTATTGGGACTGTGCTGGGACATCTTGAACCTGAATTTTTTTAGGGTGATAATGAGCAAAGGGAACAATTCTAGAAGGGTCTCAGCCCAGACCACAATCTGGGAGTAAGTGCACAGTCTCTTACAGGCTTCATTTTGAGGCAGCCTCACGGGGGTGGTGTTCTGATCATTCGCTTTGATGAGTCATGCTACTTTGGCTGAGTGTGTTTGCAACTTAACCAGCACTTTTTCTGCTAAGGGGCTCTGGAGGCAAACTATCCTGGATTTGAATCCTGGCTCCATTATTTACCAGCTGAATAGCATAAGAAAGTTACTTACCTTCTTTGGGCCTCAGTTTCCTTATCTATGATGAAGATAATGGTAGCATCACTACTGGTCCAGAATTATAAATCCATAGTAATTATCTTCCTCTATGGGTTGTTGTGAAGGTAACAGGATACTAAGGATAATGCTTAGCCTGGTGTCTGACACATATCAAGTGCTCAACAAATGATGTTTTCTTTTATTCTTTATGTACAAATGTTGTACAATTGCACATGCTCCTAACACAACGATTAGGACTCTTTGCTATCCCTTCCACCCTGACCCCTAACTTCACCTCTGATATAGTGAGAGCCCCTTTTCTTGTTTTGTGTGGATGGTGCTTGGCACAGACTACTTTTGCTTCAAGAGTCCATAGACTATCTCTTGTCCCACAGGCCACGAGGCCAAAACTAAGGACGAGGACTGAGATGACTGTGCTGCTCTCCTTATGCATGGGACCAGGGCCGTGTCCACGAGATGTACTTGTGTCTGCTGCATTTAAGGAAACCTCCAGAACTGCAACCAGCCCTTTTGAGAACCAGGATTTTTCGAGCTTAGCTATCTTTAATGGATAATAAAAATAACAGTATATGCTTTTCTGCCTTATTAAACAGTATATAAAACATAATTTTTTTAACCATCTCTGGGATTTTACAAAATAAATGGACATCAGTTATCGTATTCTGCTGTGATATGGTGTCATCTCGGAATATTGAGTTTCATAGGGCAGTGTTTCCCTAATAAAAAAATCATTTATAGATTCAAGAATTAAAGCTTGTGCCTCCCTGGTGGCGCAGTGGGTCGAGCACAGCGCTGTAAAGCTGTCCGCAGCCTCTGCAGCGTGGGTTCGATTCCTGGCCAGCCAGGGAGATTCCCACATGGCATGGCAGACTTCTCCTGTTGCGACCGCTGCTCCCCTCAGCAGTACTCTCAGTCCATCTGCTGTTCTGCTCCCATTTTGTCTCTAGTGAATCCTCTCACCCTCCTGCGCCTCTGGCCTGTACCCCAGCTATGTATTAAAAAAAAAAATCTTAAAAAAAAAAAATTGAAGCTTGATAAACTATGAATTTGAAAACAGTGCAACAAAATTGGATGCCATTAATCATGGATCCAACTCCATGATATATGGACTCGATATGTCCCTTTGGACATATGGACATGGAGGGAAGTGTAAATCAGCTTTCAGTACTTACCAAGCAACCTTCCGGGCTATACCACCAGGCCTGATATTACTGAGTTTGCCCATCTGTGGGTCTCAAACAATCAGGGTATGTTCACAAAACAACACCTGGAGGTTACATTTGGAGTCAGGGTTCATCTAATTTCCCAATGTTCCCTTCACCCATTTTCTGGGGTTTCTGTTTCTGGCTCATTTTAAAACCTGAGTTGCTACGGGGCCAGGCTGTCTCTGGCTTCCACTGAGTTGCCTGGTTAAGCTGTCCTTCCATGGTTGTGCCCTTGAAGGACATAGGAGGTTTTCAGTAAAAAAACTATTATTACCCTTGTGAACATTAACACACATAGCCAGTTTGCTCTTCAGCTTATTTGTAGCTCACTAAGCCTTGGCATTCTCTTTCCTCTCTGAGGAAAGGCTGTGATCTCCTACACCACGATGCAGTGTCAGTGATTACCTTCATTTGCTGGTTTTCTTCAGAGAACTTTGCTCCTGACTTGAAGAAATGCTGTCCGTGGGCAGTTAGATGCCAGGAGACTGCACTTCGAGAGACATCATTCCTTATAGCATGAGGCACTTTGCTGGCACCAAACTGGATGAGTCAGGCCATGGGAAGGTAGAGACCAAGGCCTGTGACACAGGGTGGTAGCTGCCTCTCCCATGACTTGTCACTCTGTATGGAAACACACATGCCCACTGTACAGGCCTTGTGAGCAACCACATGCTGGAACCTGCACAACAGATCTGTCAAGAAAGTTGAGTCCACTCTTCTAGAATCTAGACACACAGCACACCAAAGGGCTGTGCTCTTCCCTTTCATGAGTGAGCTTAAAAGGGACATGATTGGCTTGTGCCCACCTAAGAGCTGGCAAATACCTTGAAGCACTAGAGGCCTAAGCCTGGTTTACACACCACAGGTGCTGTGTGGTTCTGAATGAAGTACTCGGCAGTTTACCCAGCTGACAGCTATTTGATCTCCCAGAATTCGAAATGCAAGGATCTTCTGTCACTGAAGAGAGGAGAGATCAGGCATCTGAAAGCAGGAAGAGAGAGGAAGAATAGCTGGGGAAGTGACCCTGTGGGGGAGATGTGCGCTGGTCTGATGACCTTTGTCTTCCCAGGAGTAGCTGGGAATGGTAGGGCTGTGTGGGGGAGTAGGAAGGGCACTAATTGATAGGACCAGAGGAGAGGGTGGCAACACGGGTAGCCTTCTATTACATGGGAAGGCATTTCTTTCTCACTCCAGAAAGTCTGTGGCAGGATTTGGGGAGTGGCGGAGTGAGATGGCTCCTGAGAGTCTCTGAAATACCAGCTCACTCTCTGAGGATGGAATTTCTTCGTAGAGACCCGGATCTGGCTTCTTATAACAGAAGCTGTCAGGTGCATGATGGCAGTTGTTTCGGCATTAAGGTCTCTTAGTGACTGGGTGTGAGTGCTTGACAGGCCAGATGGCAGGCCCAGCTCCATGAAGTCAAGGAAGACTGGTGATCTACTCAGTGAAAGGCTGTTTTCCTGGCAGAGCCAAGGCCAGAAGTCAGGGGCTGCACAGAAAGAGGGAGGAAAGGTGGCTTGTAGGATCCGTGTGCTCCTTGGGAGTGCCCTGTTTTTCCTGAAGCCGAGCCATGGACCCAAATTGCTCTGACATGTGTCTCTGCCCAGCAACCAGGGAAGTCAGTGCAAAGGGACAGGACTGGGGCAGGACCAGCACCTACCCAGGTGGGGGTCCCCTTTCCTCTCCTTTCTCAGGCCTCACTTCAAGTTTCCCTTTCAAAGAATTCTCCTCTCCTGCCAACCACTCACCAGCCTCCCTCCACATTCAAGGATGAGTGTCCTTGGCTTTCCCTGTTTCTAGTGAGGTCAGGAGGTGCTTCTCCACATTTTGGAGGTGGAAAAGCAGAGCACACACTAAGCAGGTGAAGAACATCTGGGCACCTCTGCGGGGGCATGGCAGCTGTGTGTACACTGTGCAGATGGTCATTTGCCAAACTCTGTCTGAGTCCAGCAGGCGGTGGCAAATGGAGCTGAGGCTACAGAAGGGAAAAGGCGAGAACAGAGGGAGTAGATGCAACATGGGGATGGGGGGTCCTGATGGCTGGGAGTGGTGACCTGCAAATGGTCTGCGGGGCTTTTGGAGGCCAGGAATAGAGGGGCCCCAGACTGCAGCAGGCATCCCTGTAGCAGTTACCCCATGGCACTGGCTTCCACTCTGAAATACAAAGTCACCTCCCAACATCTCAGTCACTAAGAATCAGGTGCCAAAAACCAGTACACATTATCTTCTAATGTTTCCTAATGTTCGAGACATTTGGAAAACAGACTCTTTTTTAAAAGTTGCCATGGTTTTTCTTGGCTTTTTATTAGCATGTGTTAAAATCATATTATCCAAACACTACCAGTATTGTTCTGCATAAAGTGCTTAAGGAAAAAAATGCAACTTATTAAATTGGACATTCTTTTCTAGTTCATAAATTTTGGGTTACAATCAGGGCACAAAGGAGAAACAGAATGCAGTATTAGAGAGAGTGAGAAGCTTTGTTAAGAACTTGAGTGGAGACACAAGAC